CATTTCTCAACCACTACACGCAAGACAAACACGCCAAGCCAAACATAACAAACACTGTTTGAATCGATTTAATATAATGCATTACTCTGGTAAACAATAGGTTAGAGGAAGCAATTTTTCGGTGGGCCGAAGGTATTTATGCAAAGATTTACACTGATTAGTGCTCAAATAGCTGGTTACGATGAGAAGGCACACAATTAAAATCGAGAAAAACGATGTTCAACAATTGTAGTTTACGGACAGTGAATGAATGAAACAAACTGGGTAAACGAAATCCTTGCCCAATTGCATAAAATTGAGGCCAAAATAAATGAAATGTACAATACTGCCTGCCGGCATCTTGTTCATTATGCAAAGCAACAGAACTAAAATAAGCAACCATCATGTATTCCATCGGAAAGTCGTAAAATATTAACACGGAAAGATGCTTCCTGACAACCTACCTAATTTTCTCAATAGAATGTTTAACTTTTCGAAAACCAACAGTCAAAAATAGTTTATACCAGTGAGAATCCTACTAATACATTGTTACACGAGTATTTTCGTCCAGTCAATCTCATCCCTTTCTATTTACAGAAGCATATTAATTCGCCTAGAGAAGTTGTGAGCGTGGTTGTGTATGAGTTGAATATTTAAGTTTTCTGTGGTGTTTAGTTTTAGTTCATTGATAATAAATAAAACCATTTTTTAATAGAGGTCTGATTTAATTATCTGATAGAATTTTCGTGCGCCTTGAATGCGTATGTGGTGCATCCAAAGTTAAAGTCAAAGTCAAAGTTTTATTATGGGAATAGCTTACAAGCTGGTGCTTCCCTTGTCCCATAGGATGTTTACATAGATGAATCGTTACACATCAAAAAAAGGAGTCACATAGAGATCCGGGTAGGAGATAGAGAATGTAGGCTACAGTGAATCCCGTTTGCCTTTAGTGTACGAATGTGAGGTGTGCCAAGATTTTGTCGAGTCTCTGCTTGAAAGATTCAATAGTGGGTGCACAAACGACATGTATACCTAAACATGAATTCGTGATTCTTTTACCATCCTCCACCTCGGGAAAAATCACATTTACAGTCAGTTAAACAACAAAACGTTTGAAACTTATAAAAGGCTATTCTAATAAAAACACTCCTTTTATAAAAGGAAAATTTATTGATCCAACTCAATACAATTCTTCCAGGCAAACTTAGGAACTTGGGTATGTAAGACCCATATCAAGCATGTAATAAAACATACGGTGCATACATCTATTTAACAGTTCGGGATATGTAGAAAAGTGCATCCAGAAGCTCATAGAAAGGAACAGAAAGGCAATACGATAATTCTATTCTCTCGACGAGGTCGACGAGCAAAGATCATGGTAACTAACAAAGGCGAAAAACCCCGGGCGTTAAAATGAATTTGTTTCCATGACAATGAACTTTCCAAGTAATACCATCGTCTCAGGGGATAACCCCCGGATTTCAGATAATGAATAACAAAGAAAATACTAAACCTGATAACAGGTACAAATTGTTTTATTAGCACGTTTTACGTATACTCCTTGAGAGACCATGCTATGTATGTGGGAACATTAAAAATATTAGGTCATTGATTGTCAGATCAATAATATGAGTTTAGTTAATGTCCTTTTCTTTAGTTAGGCAAAAGGTCCAACAAATGTATGCATACATTTGAACAAAACTGCAACGATAACCGCAGTTTTGCCATTGTATGTCGTAAATTTCCCGAGACGATTGTTTTATTTGACTGTGAATTTTCAGAATACCCTGTCGGAAGTCGCGTGTGAGGAGGATAATCGATGAGTTTCTGGAAATTGCACGAAAAAGGTGAGTTTTACTAATATTATGTTACATTATTATTATATTTTAATCGTTCAGTCGTCTTCTTTCGAGATCACTTCTGAATTAGTCTCAAAGAAATTATTGTAAAAACTCTGCTCCAAGAAAAGAACGAATGATGTTAAATGGTAAAATGTGCGAAATTGAGCCCGGTAAAAACTTTAATATATGGTATTATACCCAACGAGGAAACAAAGGCTTTCTGTTTTATTCTTTCCAGCCCATGGTAAATATGGCGCCGTATATGTTTGAACATGTATCTGGATAACACGTGAATAAATCAACAAATTTTAGATCATTATTTGCCAAGGTTCATGAGTCTGAGCTGTATTCTACAAACAACATTTTTTCAAGTTTCATTGCGAAAGTAAATGACAAAGAATTAGGCTTCCAACTCCATATTTCATACAAATGAGTATAGCTATTCACTGCACCTTTATAATATACTTTGAAATTTGCTATAACTTCACGGCAATTGTTGCTACGAAGTAGTGTTTGGTGCTTTATTGCGTCATTCTGGAGAGGGTATTTTGTACGCTACAAAAGCGTGGTGCTCGTGCAACGAGTAGGCAAGCACCACGATACAGCTTCCAGGTAACCAATCAGGAATCAGATTAACTGACCTGTGGTCTCAAGTGGCACCTCCCGGATTGGCTGAATGAAAGAAGGTCGCGAAATGAACAATATCGTTCTCGATTAGACAGTGAAGAATCGCCCAAGGACTATTCATTCAATGCTTGTGATATTTATTTGCTTGATTTTCCGAATAGATTTAACTGTACCCTCGTCTCGGTTCCACCTGGCTTTGCGCTTTTCAGTTCGAATCCGAGTTCACGTTGTTCAATTCCGATTCCCATTCCGAAAATTAAAAAAAGCTAAGATGTGATTAGACTAAGGTCACATTGTGTTTTTATCATCTCAAATCATACGTATAAGGATGCTCTAATACAAGCCTCTTTAATTTTTGATATGAAAAACTGTCCGACTGGAATAAGCATTAGTAGCATGATTTTGCTTTAATATTTTCGAAGTTATTTGTTGGTAGATAGCTAACTTAAACTGGTACAAACACATTTTGTTGTTTTATGTTCAACAGTTGTGAAGCATAAACACTAAGAAATGTGCAGTTATTCTAATACTGCTTGAGCGTGTGTATTGCTATCTGTTAATTAAAAGGACCTAAAGAATATTTATTGGGGCAAAAATCTGGTAATATGACAAAGACTGAACGCCGGCTGTCGACCAGAATGAGTGAGCATGTTTCGAGGAGGAAAACTTCCAGCAAACGCAGTGGCGCGACATGTGCTGGATATTGGACAATGCATTGACAAACGCAAAGCTTTCCGCGTTGTGAGAAAAGTTTAAAGCCCGAGGATGCTTAGCTTCGCTGAAGCGGTTGTCATTGGCCGTTTAAAACCTGACCTATGCGTTCAAAAGGCCTTTGTTATGTAGTTGTTATTACCATGATAATTCTCCCTCCCTTTCCTTCCCATCATCTCAACCGTTCTCTTACATTATCGTTGACACTTCATTCTTCTCATTTTCTTATTACGTAACTCTCTTTAACCTACCTAATTGACCAATTTTTTTACTCTGTTCGTTGGAATTTATCTCTGGTTTTATCTTTTTCATATTACGCAACCATGTCCAACTCTCTTTCTACCATTGCTAATCGTTTTCCATTGCGTAACTGTTTCTATGCTAACATTCCCCTCCTCCTCTTTCACCCATACCCAAATGACTTCGGTAATGACTCAACAACCCAGTGCTTTCTGCTTATGTAAATGTCCATATATGGTATTCTTATGATAAAATTTAACCTATTTAATGTGCGTAGACAGTTGATTGAGAGCACGCGAAATTGATGGATAATATCAATTCTGCTCATATTGTATTTCTTGTTTTATTCGAATATGATAATTATCGTTTTAAACTTTTTATACGGGATGGAATGGCAAAGACAAAGCTGACATGAAATAATGACCAGTAGGACACCGATACTGTGATTAAAGTACACCTACTGATGCAGTTACGCCTATAAATTTATTGAATTTAACTAAACCGATAGATTTATAATTGAAACGTTTGATTTACAGTTTAATTTTAATGAAAATTTGGTTAAACTTAATACATCTTGATTCCAATAGCTTTAAAATGATGGTAACTCGTGCTATGTAATAACACAGTGTTATCGAAATTTGTTTATTGGAACTTTAAGCTTTAATTTTAAGCATATGACACTTAACAAGACCGGTTAACAAGTAAACACTGTAAACACTCTCATATTGTTTTATGAAGTTGGTTATTAATGAGGTAAAGTTTGTCATAACAGTGATTTTTTATGTATGAAATTCATGAACTTCTTCAATTTTCTTAACACTAGAGGGCTGTATAGTCGATCTCCACCGTTGGGCCATCATTCAAGTAACCAAAGGCTGCTGCACGATTCAAATTTTTGCGGAAATCTTGAGTGGAACGGAGTTAGTTGTACTCAACCAGAGCCACATTCCTACGATCTGAATCGAAACCGAGAACAACAAGCAAGCCTCTCATCGCAGTATGACAAAACTGATTTTTCAGTAAGTTTCTCAAACCGAATGCGAAAATGTTTCATCACTGTCAAAGTGCATTTTTAAGTCGTATCATGACCCATTGAATGAAGTTTGGAAATAATAACTGTAACACTTCAAATTTTGCGTCAAGTATATATATATATGTATGTATAACCGACGTACCACTACGACTAATCTTTGTTTCAACAGCTCCCAACCACCACCTGATTAACTATCTCTTCCATCTATTACGTCCGTCTATTCCCAAAAATAACAACGTAAAACTGTGGAGTACATTCCTGGATTGCATAAGAGAATTAAAGACGAAACCAAAAGAAATAACGTGTCCTTTGACGTCAAATGTCACTGATTAGACTAGGTCTGTTCAAACCCCATCCAGTCCAAATGAACCAACTTCTCCGTAAACAAACAAAAGTACTTTTTGAGTGAGTTACAGAGCGAGGAGAGCACACAAAATCTGATTACTGTTAATCCTCGTTTTACAGAAAGGACACCACTGCCACTGACTGTCATGCAGCTGTTTGAACTCTGAATGGAAGCATATCTACCGTTTGGCGGCAGGGTATATCCACAGGCGAATGACACCCCAATGGAATCACCGATCTCCGGCCTATTAGCTGATACGAAAATGAAACATTTTGCAGCCCAGGTATTTGAAGAATACCGTCGTCGTCTCTGGATCCGGTATGTGGACGATACCTATGTGGTGCTACCAGCAGCAAAAATTGAACAATCTCATGATGACCCAAACAAGGTTATATCACGAATGGCATTTACTCACGAAGAGGAAAACTAGATGAAGTTCCTTTCTTGGACGTCCTCATCATACGAAAATCCGACGGAAATACAGAAACTACTATGTACAGGAAACCAACAACAACCGATCAGGTGCTTAACCCCTATAGCAATCATCCTACGTGTCACCTAAGAAGCTGTATACACACTTTTCTCTGCCGTGTGGACACATACTGCAACACAGAAGAACTCCAGCATCAAGAACGAATGCATGTGTTCCATCAGTTCCGTACAAATTATTACCAAAAGTTTTTGTCCGATCCTGCCATAGGGAAAAAAGAACCAAATGATCAAAGTCAAATTTTTTTATGGGCATTACTTACAAGCAGATGCTTTTCTTGTCCCATAGGGCGTTTACACGAATTGAACTGTAACAATGGTGAACAAAATTCCATATGATGTATTCGGTTGTGTTATGTGTGCTCATGGATGTTGGAATGCACTGTTTGTTAATGATTCGTCTAGTTTTACCTTGAAAGAATCAATCGTCTTGGTGCAAACAACATGAGATGGTAAGGAATATAAGGCGGCGCACACTCTGACGGTGAAAGCATGACGTCGACAGTCCAGTCGAGATTTTTGAGTGGTAATTTGAATGAATGCCCCTGTCGATGAACGTTTGATGACAACGTCAAAAGTCAGCAACCAGGGTAGTTTGGGTTGTGTAATATTTGGTTCACTAAATTTAAGTCTCCTCGAATCCAACTATAGTGAGTAGTGCATAGATCCAATGACTGCAGTCTCCCCATGTATGAATCATAATAGAGTCCTTCGACCATCTTCATGTCGAGCCTTTGTGGACGCTCCAAAATCTTGTGATCACGTTGCAACCATGGATTCCAAGTTTGGATGGAATACTCAATATGCGGCCGGATGTATGCTGACAGCAGACGTGAGAGTAAAGATGGTTCAAAACAACCGAAAACACGTTTAAGTAGACCGATGTGTTTGAGTGCTGTTGATGACGCCCTGGCACCGTTGAAAGAACGGCTCAGGTCTTCGTGGACTATAACATCCAAGTCCTTCTCTATGGATGATGAGGTAGTAATTCGTTTCCGAGGAAATAAGGAAACTTCCCATAGTGGCGTAGCGAAATCATCTTGCATTTGGAGACATTAAATTGGATTTTAAATAATTAGAGCTGACTATCCTTCGGACTTCACCTTCATGCACAATCCTCAGTTCATCGATTTTTCAAGTTTGACTTACAGCTACTTGTGAGTAGTGGTGTGGGATAATTGGGTTTAATTAACTTAATTTTTAATTGTTTCTTTTTGTTTAAAATATCATTCCAGCCTTGTAGATTCGTTGGCGAATCAGTCCGTACCTGCAAGGAGGCTTTCGATTGGAGTTAACAGTATGTCATCTGTGTCTCCCTTCGTTACTGTCGGGCCACTCTAACCTGACTATCACTGAAGACGACACCTGAACAAACATGAATTGGCAATTTGGTGTAGCCATGGCATGAGCCGGTTGGCGTAAAGGTAACGCACACGCCTTCCATGCGATGGGTCCGGAGTTCAAGTCCCGGACAGGACGGTGGATAAGCACTACTGATGAGGTCTAATAAGAGCGAAACTCGAGTCTAGTGCTTCCGAGTGTATGGTTGAATCGATGAATTGAGGTTGTATGAAGGTGAAGTTCGAAGGATAGTCAGCTCACATTATTTAAAACCAATTATCCCACGCCACTACTCACAAGTAGCTGTGAGTCAAAGTTGGATTAATTTGGATGTCGTTCTCAATAGACCATTTGTGAGCTGCATTCAGTTTTTCTTGGAGATCCAGCGAACCCTTTTTCTGTCACTGTCTGGCAGATTTTGACACCGTCTACAAACAATAATGTTTGTGGTTCTAGGACATTCGGGAGGTCGTTTATGAACAAGAGATAAAGTCGCAGATCAAGCACAGAACCCTAGAGAACTCTGCGAGAAACGGCAATAGGGGTTGACAGTGAATCATAGACTAGAGCCGACATGGACCCTTGTTGAAGACTCGCAGCAAATTCAATCAAGCGCGAGGTCTCTGATACCAAAATTGTACAGTTTACGCAGCATTATTTCGTGGTTCACCTGATTGAACGCTTTGGAGAAGTCCAGGTAAACCACATCAACTGCATCGCCTTTGTCTACTGCCTTTGTCCAAATAGAGGATGAGGGGATTGAAGTGCAAGAGAGAATGAAGTGAAGATCAAGCATTTACAGTGGATTAAGATAGCGTTAGCAATTTTTTTTATTTCACCGTACTTCACGTTGATGAACCAGGTTGACAACTCGCGATGAGGAGAACTCATATTCCCTATCTTCATTACCTTCTGGAATTTAACACTCTAGATTAACCTTTCTGAGTATTATTAATAATGGTAAACTATCCAAAACTTTGAATTGCGATTTGATTGATGAAAGTCATAAAACCAGACCATAAATCAACTATCAAGCACACAGCCAAACTCACATAAAAAGGCTACTTTTTTGGATTAGTTCAATATCGATGAAAAAGTCGTTATATGTTCAGTCCACTAAAGCTGTTCTAACCGTAAAAGAAAATACATTATTTGACGAATAATCGAAGAGAAATAAGTGCACCGCCAACTGGACTCAAGAATATCTTATCAGTCGACAACAAGCATTGATGATGTCACCTCGGCTGGTAATGAAACGTTTGCAAACAAATTTCCAAGCTCGGCGAACAGGCAAAATGGAATTCAGTTCACCCGAGCTACGAGAACCGATTTTCAATATTTTGTCAACTTGTATATTATTGTCATTTCGGGAATTTACATCCTGAACATTCGACTGTCTTTATAAGGAAGTCTATACTTGCGGAATTATTTTCGCGCATGCCAAACTAAGAATCTGGCAGTATTTTGAAAAATAAATCTCCACATAAACGGTATTAAGATGACATGAGTCATCGCAAACAAAAAACGCTTGTGATGGATTCAATGGGTCGGTTCCATTTGAATGTTAGGTTCACTTGTGAATCAGACTACCAACTAAATGGGCTTTTTGGGAAGTGACAACTCAATATTTATACATAACCATTTCCGTAAATATCTTTAACGGAAACAAACACGGTTGAGATGCTGGTTGCACCATTGGAAACAATTCGCTTTCGTAAGAATCTGAACGCATTCTTCTTGTAAGACTGATTGGTAGAGTCCGAATACGTGCAAAAGTTCAAAGATTACCATTTCTGTTAGCTGAAAATTTTTAGAACAAGACAATAACTTTTTGAGTGCAAAGGTTAAAAGCTTCTAAAAACTACATCTGGCCCCAACCGAAAAGATACACTCGAATTGTTCTTTCGTTGTTGAATGTTGGTGTTCTCTTATAGTCATATTTATAACGAACGATTCCGCAAAAATCGTTCTGATTAATTTGTCCCGGAAAGCCTTACTTGTTTGCTGTGCCTTTGTTAGTGATACAGCACCGTTGAATTACCCTTCCGTAAATTCGGTCTTCTTCCCAGGTTGTAGCACTATTATTGATCTGCCGTGAACTAAATTTTCCATAATAATATATTTTAATTCATTTTTCGTAACAAACTGGCACACTCATTACCCCTTGAGAGATCGGAGGTCGATCGTATGTTGTTAGGTTGCTATTGGGAAAGTACGACGATGGTGCTGGAGTTCAGAATCTCAAACGACGACGAGGTGGGCATATGGTCCATATTAGTGAACCACTTATTCACAAAGAATATATACACTAACCGCCGATGAATAATTAGGAACTTCTTCAATAATAGGTACGCATCAATATCTGTTGAAACCGTACAAATATGTAGACCAATTTTGAATGGCGCGCAAGCTCAGAAACCAAGTCCAAACATTCTAGAGGTTATTTCGACTCTTAACAATGATGGATAATAATGTGGTGCTGTAAATATAA